TAGGGACTATTTATTCAGCTGTTTCAAAAGTACGGGGCCTCATTTTAGTGATCCGAACTCGACAACTTTTCCCTCTGCTTGACCAGAAAAAAGAAATCTCACAGGAATCATATGTGTAGAATTAAGTGTAAAACCAGCCCACCAGCAGAATCAACAGAAAGGACTCCAACCAAGACCACCTTCACCAACATCCCAAAGCTGCAGGATCTACTGAACTTGATACACAAACTACCTCTGTTAACTAAGTCGTACCAACATCTTCTCGTTTAACCTTGTCTCATCTTTTAACCCATATTTTAAAAACATGACCAAAACAGATTTGCTCCACCTGCGTCATATCACTGACATAAGAAACATTTAATCTAAAAGTGAAGCAGAAAAACTAGTCCATGCATTTGTCACGTCTAGACTGGACTATTGCAATGGTTTATTATCTGGATGTCCAAATACTTCTTTAAAAAATCTTCAGTTGATCCAGAATACTGCTGCCAGAGTCTGAACTGGAGTTAGTGGGAGAGATCATATCTCTCCAGTTTTAGCTTCTCTCCATTGGCTCCCTGTCAAATTCAGAATTGAATTTCAAAATTTATGCTCAAAAATCCTGGTAAAAATCCAACAATGTTCAGTCAGGTCATCTGGATGGTTTCTTTCTTTTTTTTTTTTTTTTTTTTTTGCTGAGACGTTTTGTCCTTCATCCAAAGGACTTCATCAGTTCGAGGAGTCACAAACATACTGAGTCCCACAAGCAGCACACTGCCATAGTGGAAAACAATGTTTGCTGGTGATAAGATGGTTTCTGGAGTCAGAATAGAATTCAAAATCTTACTTCTAAGCTACAAAGCTCTCAACAACCTAGCTCCATCTTACATTACTGATCTCATTGTTCCAAATTTTCACTCTCAGACTGCAGGTTTACTTGTGGTTCCTAGAGTTTCCAAAAGCAGAATGGGAGGAAGATCTTTTAGTTATCAGGCTCCTCTCTTGTGGAACCAACTTCCAGTTTCTGTCCATGAGGCTGACACATTGTCCAGTTTAAAGACTGGACTCAAGACTTTCCTTTTTGATAAATCCTATAGTTAGGGTCGGCTTGGGTTTCCTGAGCTATCCCTTAATAATGCTGTTATAGGCTTAGACTGCTGGAGGACAAGCTGACCACATTTCTTCACTCTGCTACTGTCTTTACTTCAACCTATTTTGTATTTGTAAAAGTTTCTATCCTTGACATGTGTTTTTGTCTTTCTTCCAGTAGGAGGTACATCTGCACCTACATCTGGACCTACATCTGCACCTACATCTGGACCTGCCATTCTGCCTTTGTCTCTCCTTCCTGTCCTCTCAACCAGCCGGTCGAAGCAGATGGCCGCTTCTCCTGAGCCTGGTTCTGCTGGAGGTTTCTTCCTGTTAAAAGGGATTTTTTCTTTCCACTGTTGTCACTGTGCTTGCTCAGGATGGAGAAGATTCAACTTGTCCGCTTAGATAGAGAACTTTACTAATTGGCTTTTGTTTGTATATGAATGTTTCTGTTCGGTGTCCTGAGACAACTTTGTTGTGATTTGGTGATATATAAATAAACTGAATTGAACATGACTTTGGCTTTATTTATTTTAATTTTTTCATTTAGCCTTTATTTATACAGGTAGTCTCATTGAGCCACGAGAACTCATTTTCAAGAGAGACCTGTTTAGGGAGCACATGGTGGTTAAGGGCCTTGCTCATGGGCCCAAAGCAGGGCGAATGAGGGTGGGGGCAGGTGTGGGCGCTTCACTTACCCCACCCACATTTTTGATGTTGTCAGTCCTGGGGCTTGAACCGGCGATCTTCCAATCACAGGCCTACCATCTCTAACCTCTGTGCCACCACTCCCCTAAATTGATTAGGGGTTAAATCCTCTGATGACTTGAAATTTTTAGAAACCAAAGGAATCCTACTTCCATTCATTGAAGAGCCAGTGTTTGGTTCTGTTATTCAAGTTACAGGAGACAATCTTGCTTTGAATGGTTTATTAGGTTTTGTTGAACCATTTAGTGCAACACACTGGTGTAGGTTTTGTTTAATGAACAAAGAAGAAATTCAATACGTTTTTCATGAAGACAATTGTGAGCTTGTTCTGCGCTCCAGAGAACTTCATGTTGAACATTGTAATGCAGTAAGTGAAGACCCTGCTCTCTCTTCTGTTTATGGAGTTAAAAGATCTTGTGTGCTCAGTTCATTAGAATATTCTCATAGCACTGACAATGACGCTGTTGATATAATGCACGATTTGTTGGAAGGAGTTGTACAGTATGAGCTCAAACTTTTATTTCAATACATAATCAAAGATGGTTACATCTCCATTGGTACATTACTAGACAGGATACATATATATTGATAAAATATCAGTAAAATACCTGTGACAGACTTGCGTCCTGTTCAGGGTGTCCCACGCACCAGTGACCCCCGCGACCCGAAATATATACATATATAAATACATAAGTCAGTGTGGAAAAACAAGGGATTCCTTAAGTTCATTGATTGTACAGGTTTATTAATTTCAGACAGGAGATGAACCAGTCAGGGGTGCAGGTTATAACATGACCAGTGTAACAGACAATCAAATACAGCTTATTTGTTTTAATAATTTCTACAGTAGGAAAAGTACAACGGAACAAAAATGGAACAACATAAAATTGTAATTTTTTTTGTCTTTCCAGACATGATTGAGGTCTTATAAAACACCTGTGTTAATACATATAAGCTTCATAATTAAATCAAATGTAATTAAACAAAAATAGAAAAATCACGTTTTCACAAAGGCTGACAGAACTGATTTTATACATTCAAAGATTGTATTAGTGCTGTCAATCATCGTCAGTGTTTTCACAGCTGGTTCCACAATAATCTGCTTTATGACAATCACAAACTGTTCAGGACTTCAGTGAGACGGACGGACAGATGCTACAGCGTCTGAACTATTTACAGAGCACACTTTCTGTAACGAGAGCGCCTTACACACAGTGTTGTGTTTTCATTTGATGTCATTTTATTTTATACATAACTGATGAAATATTTCTACTCTTTTTGGGACAAAACAGTGTGTTTGACTAGTATAACCTTTTTTGTAAACTCAAAATGGGAGTATTAAGTATTGTGCCACTCATAAACATATGGATGCATGCCAAAGCTGCATTAAGCTTGAACCCATTTGAAGCTGTTTAAAGAGACAGTTCAGATCTTTTGAAGTGGGGTTCAGTGGAAGGGTTATGAACAATTAATATTTTACTTGCTGTAAAGCTCTTTGAATGACATCAGTGTGAATAATTAGTTTAACTCTGACTGGAATGATGACAGTAAGTATAGATTATCATGAAATATCTGCTGGAACAACTGCATGATGCAAAACTGTCTAAGAAGTTTTATGAAATAGCATTTACATAAACCATTGTGAAACGGTTAGAGCTGTTTTCACACTATCTCTTAATTTATCAATTCAGTCAACATGTATTTCTATTTCTCCAAACCAAGGTCTTTCAAGGAGGTATCTGCAACAGGTAAGATATTAATTCTTGATAAATGTTCCACAAAACCAATCATTTAACTTTCATAAGTTTATCAAGGAAGTGGGGACAAAGTAAAGATGTTGCTCGATGACAAACTTGATAACAAATAATGAACTTTTCATTGAAAACTCCCTCTCTCACTCATATATACATTCATATATACATACATATATATATATATATACATACATATATAATATATATATATATATATATATATATA